CACTGGGGATTAAGCCCACAACCCAGGCATGTGCCCTTGACTGGAATCAAACCTGGGACCCTTCAGTCCGCAGGCCAACACTCTATCCACTGAGCAGAAGAATGCTGTCTCTACAGGTGTGATGAAACCTGATATGGGATCTGTTCACAGACTTTCCAATGGATGTGTCTCCTCTCTCCAGGACCCTAGCTCTGCCTTGATGATCACTGATTACCCAGAGTGGTTCTGCCTGTAGTTGGTTGAATGATGACTACTGCTCCCCACTCCCCGCCCCCCCCTCCCATTCAGATATTCCAATTCTAAGAATCTTATTTGGAAAAAGGTCTTTTGCAGATGGATGAGATGATCCTGGATTATCTATCTAGGTGGGCCCTAAATCCAGTAAGTGTCCTTTTAAGAGAAAAGCAGAGATATTTGAGACAGACAGAAGAGGAGAAAACACAAGGAAGAGGTAACGTGACCATAGTTCCCCAAGGAAGACAAGCATTCCTGTCATTCATTGGCATCACTGATTGCTAGACGGATTTTCTTTTTCTGACATTGACTCATAAACTGTGTCATTATAGTTTCCATAAGTTTATGTTGAGGACCCGGGCTATCTGGGAAAATATTGTTTTGTTAATTAAACAACCTTGCTAGAAAATACATTTCTCTTTTTCAACTCATCCTTCTAGAACATTTTCTACATAGACTACTGTTCTGTACCACTGGGTCAGATGAACCTTTGTATAAAGGGAGGCATCATACCAGCTAGTTATATGGGAAGCTCTCCCACTTACTACCTCTGTGATTGTAGGGTGTTGCTGTAACTGACACTGTGCCTCAGGGGTAAAAATAGTACCTACCTCCTGGAGCTTTTGTGAGGATTACATGACAAATACATGTAATGCACATGGCAACAAAATCATAGATATTTCACTTCCATTACCTCCTCTACACTTGTAGTTTGAAAGGGACCATTTTATGTTGTGAGGGGAAGGGAGGTGATTTTGGGTTGGGAGTCACAAAACCTAGGTTCTATTCTCAGTTCTGTCAACTAACTGGCCATGTGCAATGTTCTTGAATTGCTTTGACCTCTGGACCTCAATCTGGCTCCTAATGCCATAGTCTTTACTACTAGGCCATAGCACATATTTGCAGTCACATAGAATTAAAATGTGTAATATTTCTTAGTCTACACAAAATTAAAAAATCTAATCTTTGACTCACTGTAGATCGCCAGATTGTAATCATACATCTCTATGGAGGTTGCTGTGGTTATCTGGGCACGGTAAGGTCCGCTGTCTGCCATTGTCAGGTTGTTGATCTGCAAGGAGGAGGACTGGATGACTTTCAGTCGATCTTTCCGTTTTGGATCAGTCACCTGGATTTGTGCTGGCTCTGTCAGTATGAAGATGACAGATGCTGTTTTATGAAGCCAGGTGATGGACTGGATCTCTTCTGCAGAAAACTTCAGGGGGAGAGTTACCGACTCCCCCAGCACCCCGTCCACCAGCAATGGGGGTGCTTGGGTTTGTGAAACGGTGTTCCCTATAAACACAGAAGGGAAACTGTTGAAATGGACTATTAAAAAGGCTCCACCCCAACAAAATGTTTGGCACTCTTGGTTAATGGGCTGTTAGACCCAATGATCCTGGCTCAGTTTACTCTCCCACACTGGCTGGTTATCCTCGGCCATACATACCATCTGACTCCAGCCCCTGAGTTCTTTCTCTGGGCATGAGATAGAGGGGGACAAGGAACTACATCAACTCCCTGCCACAATTCCAAAACCACAAGTGTTTGCTGATATTTATAATTAAAACTCAACATTTACTGACGACCTACTATGTGTCCAACATAGTGGTCTTGTGAGATTTAGAGGACAAATAATCAGACTTTACAGTTCTTTTTATACATTACTTCATTTGATGCTGACACGTTTTGGATCAGTCACCTGGATTTGTGCTGGCTCTGTCAGTATGAAGATGACAGATGCTGTTTTATGAAGCCAGGTGATGGACTGGATCTCTTCTGCAGAAAACTTCAGGGGGAGAGTTACCGACTCCCCCAGCACCCCGTCCACCAGCAATGGGGGTGCTTGGGTTTGTGAAACGGTGTTCCCTATAAACACAGAAGGGAAACTGTTGAAATGGACTATTAAAAAGGCTCCACCCCAACAAAATGTTTGGCACTCTTGGTTAATGGGCTGTTAGACCCAATGATCCTGGCTCAGTTTACTCTCCCACACTGGCTGGTTATCCTCGGCCATACATACCATCTGACTCCAGCCCCTGAGTTCTTTCTCTGGGCATGAGATAGAGGGGGACAAGGAACTACATCAACTCCCTGCCACAGATTCCAAAACCACAAGTGTTTGCTGATAACTTATAATTAAAACTCAACATTTACTGATGACCTACTATGTGTCCAACATAGTGGTCTTGTGATATTTAGAGGACGAATAATCAGAATTTACATTTCTTTTTATACATTACTTCATTTGATGCTGACAACAATTTCTGTGAGGTAGGTAGATGGATGCTATTATCTCAATTTGTAACAAAACTGAGGCAAAGAGTAGTTCACTAGTAATTTTCCAATTTTCCCAGGGTTACATAGCTAAAGAATGAGTCAGGATTCAAACTCAACTACTTTGACTCCAACTACTTTGTGCTCTTTTCAGGATACTAAAAGTCATCTTTTCCCCTCTCCAAAAGATTATACTTAGTAGAAGAGATATACATAAAAGTAATAAATGTCATTTAAAGGGAATATATAATGGCCATATTCTAATGAGCTTATCTCAGAACCATTAATTTTTGAGCAAAAAAGGTGAAATAGTCACAAAGATTCTTTTAAAAATATATATTTTTATTGATTTTGGGGAAAAAGGGAGAGGGAGAGGTAGAAACATCAACGAAGAGGATCATTGATTGGCTGTCTCTTGCATGCCGCCTACTGGGGATTGATCCTGTAACCTGGGCATGTGCCCTGACCCGGGAATCAAACCATGACCTCCTGGTTCATAGGTTAATTTTCAACCACTGAGCCCCACCAGCCGGGCACAAAGATTCTTAAAGAAGATGCTTCCTTAGCATCCTTTGCCAAATACTTAGATAAATACTTAAGTAAATAATTATTACAATCTTTTGTAGCCCTCTATTTGTTTGTCTAACCAATCAGGCTTTAATTATCTTTGCATTTCAGCACTGTACCTGACAAAAAGTAGTATCTGTTTGAGTGAATCAAAGAATCAATCAGTAACTATAACCATGACCTTAACCTTCTTGAGGTCTCTTTATTCTCAAGAGAGGATCTGAGTAGGGGAGGAAATGTCTCTTGGAACCCTGACATTCAGCTCCTGGGTGAGCTCTTGTTTTCCTAAATTGTCTTGTGGATGCCAGGCACATGAACATTGCCAGAATCAGTACTACCTCCCAGCACATCTTTCCCATCAGCACTTTAACATGCTGGTATTTGTCATCTTAACTCTTCCCTCTTGAAACCATATGAGTAAACATCACAAGGAAAAATCTTGAGAGAAAACCCCCCAGATATAAACAGAATACATGATATGATTCCATTGATTTTAAAGTTAAAAAGCAGGCAAAACAAATCTATGCTATTTGAAGTCAAGATGGTGGTTACCTTTCAGGAGGTGGGAGGGACGGCAAGTAGGAGGGAGCAAAAGGGAGAATGGGGGGAGGGGAGCTGATAATGTTCTATTTCTTGGCCTGTGTCTGTATATGCAAATGTATTCATTTTGTACATTGAGATGATACTTAGTATTTGTTTTCTCTCTGTATGTTAAATTTTAGTAAAATATATTAAAACAACAACAAAAAACAAAGCAAAACAAAATAATGACAATGACCTATACAGACCAAAATGTTCTGGTTATTTTTCTCTCTTCTACCTAATGTCCCATCACTGTTCCCTGTGTTCACTTTGCTCAAACTATGCTGGCTTGGCTATTCCTTGAGATGGTCAGGACTGGTTCGCTTGCAATTCTCTCTACCTGGAATGCGCTTCTCCCTGGTGTCCATGTGTCTCACTCTTTTGTCTCCATAGATCTTTCATGCCAGTATTCCCTTTCAGAGACCTTCTGTGGCAACTCTTTCCTCATCACTAGCCCTTACCCTATACATTCAGCTGCCTCCCCAGTCACCTGAGCTGGCCCCTCTAGGTGCACCCCTGTGTGGGCTGTGTGCACAATCTTGTTTTAGTTGAGCCTTGATTGCCATTGGCATCACTGGAAGGAATTGGCCTCCAGGCCAATTGGCTGTGAGGACCAGCTGTGACTACAGCAGAAGAGCTGCTGTGCAGGAAACATCCTTACAGAGCAGAAGTTGCTTCAATGGGGCTTTGGTGTTCACTGAGTCTGCTCCTTGAGTGTGTCACTTGTGGATGTGTAGAGTTGTAATCTGGTATGGTCTAAAGCTCTCCACCAGATGCACTGGCCCTGGGGCCTCCTGGGAGGTGCAAAGTCAGCCATTGCCTGAGGTTACAGAGAGATGTGCAGATGGCTGCTATTTGTATTGGGCTTGGAAGTGCCCAGAGGAGGCCCAGCTATAAAGCAAAGCAGGCTGGTGCTAGTGTTGGGTCTTAGGCCTCTTATTGATAGGTTTGGGGCATGCTGATGTCAGTTGCTGCTTGTTTGAGAGTTTTTATGAAAGTCTGAAGCCTGAGCTATACAGGCCATTCATATGGAAAAGCTTCTGCAAACAGCTTGGGTGGGGCTGCAAATTGGATGGGGCAGGGTCTCAGGGAATCACCAGGATGGAGTAAGCAGTGTAAGCCAGGCTGATGGAAGCTCAAATTTGGCTGCCAGTCAGCACTGTGATGGGGGGAGTCTCAGCACAGGAACAATGACACCTGTGAGCACCCCTGTCTGGGAGAAAGCCACCTCAGGGTTCTTGCCCCAATACCAGACAATCCAGTTCCTGCCTATATGTCCCTGGATTCCCCAAAGCCACTGCCTGGTACTGGAACTTGGAGGAAATGGTACCATGTTGGCCCTTTAAGAGGAACTGCCTGGGGCTCCAGCAGCCTCCATATCACTCAACCACAATCCCCACTGGTTTTTATAGCCCAAAGTTATAGGGACTTCTCTTCCAAGCTCTGGAACCCCGGATGGGGGTCTGGTGTGGGTCTGGGACCCCTTGCTTCTCATGGGAGGCCCTTGCATCCAAGATATCCCTACTGATTGAAAAAACACCACATGCAGCTGTTGGACCAGCCCAGTCTGCGCCTCTGCTCCTCCTATCAGTCTCGATATACTTTCATCTTTACTTCTGTAGTTGTAGGACTTCCCTCAGCCAGATTTCTGATTTGAATGATGGTTGTTCTGTATTTCAGTTGTAATTTTTTTAAAATATATTTTATTGATTTTTTACAGAGAGGAAGGGAGAGAGATAGAGAGTTAGAAACATCGATGAGAGAGAAAC